GGGCGATCTTTGCTTTCAACCAGTCGGAGCACTCCAACAAGCACCTCGCGGTCCTCCAAATCCGTCGGATGCAGGACCATCTTGCACCGCCGCGCTGTACCAACCTACCAGGACTAGGAATGCCACAAGGGCAAGGGGCGGCAGTAGCGGCAACCTGTAGTTGTACCCTACTACTTAAATGTTTATGCAGTCGCCGATTCTGGCACACACCATATAAAAGAGTTTTCCTGCAGTACGAAAACCTGAAGGTGCATTTCTCTCCAACACCACACACACAACACACGCACACATATGCACACATGCATAGGCAAAAATTTAATGTTGTGAAAAATAGAACTACTAGGTTTTGAAACTCAAACTCTACACATCACTCACTACAATGTTTTGATGCATCACAGAGAACCGAATTATTTCCATACTTGCATTTGACCTTGCTGTCATTTGTTTCTGATTCTATCTCCATTCCTTGATCTAATTTCATCATATGCTGTACAAATGCATCACTTATTAAAATCACTAGAAAGACCAAACTTCCGCAGTTTTGGTGCTGGCGAGGAGCGGGGGGCGGACGGGGCCAAACACATATAATCCATAGGGCATCATGAATTCTCCTGAGCCCACCTTGACTCGCTGTCGCAAAAAAAAAAAGAGAACACACTCGACTCATCCCCTCATCCACCTCAGACTGCTGCATCGCTTGTACTTATGCACCACCTGCCGCCGTGGCCCACAGGCGGCTGCCATAAAACGCAAGGCTACATGTACAAGGGGTGCAATGGGGCGCCTATGGCTACTAAGAGCAAGACGACCGTGGTCGATGAGTAACAGATCGATGGACGTACCGTCGCCTAGAACGTGTTGTCGTCTTTTTTGTAGCCCTCCATGCCGAAGCCATCGGGCCTTGGGATATTTTTGTCTTTGGACCAGTCCGCCGTGGGCGGCCACTCATACTCGACATCGGGGAGGAACTGGCCGAGGGCGAGCTTTGCTTTCAACCAGTCGGAGCACTCCAACAAGCACCTTGCGGTCCTCCAAATCAGTTGGATGCAGGACCATCTTTCACCGCCGGCGCCGTACCAGCCTATCAGGACTAGGAACGCCGCAAGGGCAAGTGGTGGTAGCAGCAGCAACCTGCAGTTGTACCCAAATACTTAAATATTTATGAAGTCGCCGATTCTGGCACACACTTTATAAAGAGTTGTCCTGCAGTATGAAAATCTGAAGGTGTATTTCTCACGCACACACATGCAAAGGCAAAGATTAAGGTTCTGAAAATAGAACTACTAGGTTCTGAAACCCAAACTCTACATATCACTCTCTAGAGTGTTTTGATGCAACACAGAGTACCGGATTTTTTCTCTCCTTGCATTTGACATTGCCGCCATTTTAAAAAAAATTCTGTCTCCATTGATCTAATTTCAACATATGTTGTACAAATGCATCACCTGTTAACATCACTAGAAAGACCAAACTTCAGCAGTTGTACCCAACATCAAGAGCAGCTCGCTCACTTCTTTCCAGGAGAAAAATAGAACTACTAGGTTCTCAAACTCAGACACTACACATCACTCACTACATTGTTTTGATGTAACACAGAAAACTGGATTATTTCCCTCCTTGCGTCAAATATCTTTCTTGGATCCGTCACTTGGGTCAGCCATAGATTCTTGCCGGACACCGTGCCCAACTCTTCAGTTCTTTCAGCTTTGTGGTAAACTCCATCTTCTCTGTGTCATAACCACAATCTGCTGCAGTAAAGATGTGACATTTTTCCACCCTACATTCTGAGAGCAGATATTATTTCTTAGTTTCCAGATCCCCCACAGGGTCGCCACAGAGAAAATATTCAAAAATTAAAAACTTCTTATTACTAATCCACATATGTCCAACACACAAATTAAAAAACAAATTGCTACCACAAGTTCTATTGAAGACTAATGAAATAAAGTTCCAAACTTGTATAGCTACTACACAGTCAAAGAAAACATTGTGAATGGATTCCTTCTCACAGCAGAAAAAGGAAAATCCACATTTCATCAAACGGTGACAATACAAACTCAAGAGAAATTATGACATCGACTTTATTTTTTGTAATCAAATGAGCATAGTTAGTTAAGAGTGAGAAAGATTATATACATCATATCCATGTATTGTGCACTGATGTTGAATTAAATAGTTGAAAGTGTAGGCCTCCTGTCCGATCTCAAACACACTCAATATGTCCTCCTGGCCAACCTCCTAGCACACGCAAAACACAAAGTTCATACCCATGACCGAACTCCCAACCAACGAAAAAATAGAACTACTAGGTTCTGAAGCTCAAACTCTACACCTCACCTCGACAGTAGTCTACTCGTGTTGCCTTCCCACACCTGACCCTGCTCCACTCCTCCCTCCCCCAGTATTTCTATGCCATCACAGCCTCCAGCTTCTAAGACACCAAGATCTGCTAGAGCCTAGGGCTGCCTGCCTTGCCTTTCATGGCGATGCAGGAGCAAGAGTGTTGTTACCAGCCACTGGAGATGGCGAGGACGGCCACCGACGAACCGCAGCTGCCTGGATTATTAGGCCCGATAACTGTGGAATCTACGGTGACCATGCATTATGGAGACGGCGACATGGCCAACGATGGTGGTGCTGACGAGGAGGAGCGGGGGGCAAAGGGGCCTGGCAACGTCCACTCATCCTCGCCTTCGGTGGCTCTGTTGTCCGTCGTCGATTCCATTCTGGTCAGCATCAGCTCCAACATTGCCAGCCCCCAATTACAGCGCAAGCCACGCAGCCATGTCCCCCGCGCTGCACCGTTCCACGAGGCCACAACCCACAAGTGGGGCTTGAAGGACCCCGTTCTCCCACCGACGCCAACCAAGAAGAAGGCCAGGCGGAAGAGGATGGCGAAGGAGTGGGACAAGTCGTGTGCGGTGTGTATCGTGACCGAGACGCCGTTGTGGAGGAGAGTTGGACGACCGACCGCCGGCTCATGCTCTATAATGCCTGCGGGATCTGGGTGAGGACACCCAGGGTGGTGCTGCCAGAGCTGGTGAACGTCCCTCCTCCGGTGACGGTCAGTCATCTCCGAGCTCCAGCAACCGGTGGCGCCCCCACACAAGATCTAGCCAGTCTCACACTCACGGCGGGGGCGGTGCTTCTGAAGTAGGCGCACGTGCACCTCCTCCTCAAGAGAAATTATGACATGGAATTTATTTTTTATAATCAAATGAGCATAGTTAAGAGTGTGAAAGTTTATATACATCATATCCATGTATTGTGCACTGATGTTGAATTAAACAGTTGAATGTGTATATATTGCTCTCATGCTTTACGTGTGTGTAGGTATATATATACATTTGTTTCTTGGTTTTGGATCAGCAAAGTGTTTCCTGTGTTCACCATTACACAATCATTATCCCCTTTTTCAACATTATTTATATACTACTTACATGTTTATGAAATTGCCAATTCACCATATCTCTTTAACATTGATTTTTTGTGTAGGGTAGTAAGAAATCCCAATTGGTTACCCTTGAGAGGTCTTTAGTTATTATCACATAGTCTTTGAGTAATTGGGTGTTCAGCGCACATATATGGATCTTTTTTTTGTTCCATTATATATTACACTATTTCCAGGGAGCTTAAATGGAAAATGATGTGTCATGCTATCTCTTTTACAGTTATTTTCTGTATCCATTATTTTAATATTGTTCTGACAATTTGAATATTATGTGGTTCTTACAGGGTATGGCAAGGCCTTGCCTTCAAGGACATTTTAGGAGGGAGGTATTACCTAGCCACATCCATGTATACTATGCCCAAGGAGTCCAACTGTGCAGTCAAATTTAATTTTGGGCCAAACTTCAACTTCTTCCCACAAAATTTTGGTGGGTTACCGATCCCTCAACCAATGAGTGAGGTGCCTCGTCAGGCGTTGAGGTGAAGATTGATGTGCCTGCAAAAAATGCTATTGCTAGAAAATCTATCTAGGGTAGTTAGCATGTTTTGTTAGCTATGTTAAATACCATTGTGTAAACACCACATACAGGCCCATCGATACATAGTGAAGAACGATGAGTAGAGAAAAAATAATATAGAATTGGCTGGGCGCGCGGTGTAAATTGAGAGAAAGAAAGTATAATATTGGTTGAAGTGATATAGGATGCAAAATTGCCTTCTATGTTTAGGAGCGAGATTTTAGAAAAGGCTAGAGAAACCCAAAAATGTGCTTCCAACTTTTTATAGCCACTCAAAAAACTCATTGGTTTACCAATAGGTTCATCAGAGCATTGCTTCCTTAAACTGCAGACCTAAAAAAGCTCCTTTTAAATTGCAACCTAAAAAGCTCCTTTTAACTGTATGCTTCCTTAAACTGCTAGCTGTTATTAACATATACCTACTGAAAACAACTAAACAAGTGAACAGAATTTGCATTTTCAAGTATGAGTATCCTACAAGCCGGAGCAAGGCAACTCAGAGAATTTCAACACAACTCAATGGTATTCTGTGAGAAACCACTAGGTTGATAAACAGCATTGGTATGCATTTATCAAATGCTCCCACTGAAGCAACTTCAGGACAACGATGATGGTGATGCTAAGCAGAAACACAAGAACATAACAGCATGATTTATTCCAGCTGCGCATGTCTAACATCTTTGCTTAATTAGAAGGAACCCTGTGCATCTTAATATCTTCAACAAAGGAGCTGAGCACTTGCTAGAGCTTCCTTTTGTTCTCCTCCAACTCTCAGCGTAGGAACGTAATCAAGCCGTACTAGAATGAAGCAAAGCAGTCGAATTTCAGTCCTAACAAGATTGAGTCACACTGTCGTGCAACAATCGCAACCGGATGGGGTCAATTTCTTGTGCTTTCACTTCCACTCACAAGCTACAACTCAAAACAACGGATTCCCCTAAATGTTAGCACTATACGACGAATATCAGAAACAAGCGAGTGGAGAAACAGGGAGGGGAAAGGAACAGGGGGCAGGCAGGGTAGGGTAAGGAATCACCGGCGAGGGAAGTCGGTGGTGACGCCGATGTAGGTGCGGGGGATCCGGGAGGAGGCTATAAGGTACACGCACCACGGCGGCGTCGACGCCTTCCTACACTTCACGGCCCCCGGCGGCGGATCCCCGGATGCCGAGGCCGAGGCGGCCACGGCGGCTAGCTCGCCGCACTTTAGGGGAAGAGTGCGCAGGATTTTGGCGGCGCGGAAGGCCGCCATGAGGCTCATCTCTCACCTGGCCGGCGGGGCGGAATCGTCGGTGGCATTCGCATCCATGTCGGTGGACGAAATTTACGAATGGGAGAAGAAGGGACAAAGAAGTGTTGATTTCATGGGCTGAATGGGCCTTGATGGACTGATGGTTGGGGCTTGTGGGCCTGAATGGACAAATGAACGTGAGCCACACACACACAAAAAAAAAGTCTAAACTATCACATGGGAGTCCAAAATTTTTCGTCAAACTCTGAAATTAGATTTGAATTCTCAAATCATTCAAATTGCCTCTCTGTCTTGGTTCCAAGGAGTTTTAAAGGAACATTTATCTTTTCAGTTAAAACAATCTAGTAAACATTTGAAAAAGATTTTTAAACAGTAGAAAATGCTAAACTTTTTAAAAAAAATCCTAAATATTGACATATAGATAATCCAAATGAAATACTTTGAGATCACAAAAAATATCTCTAGAAACTTCCAAAAATTATTCAGCTCTCAAAAATTAAGGAAAATGTTTAGAAAAATCTAGAATTGTCCTAAAACATTCTAGTTGATGTATAAACAAATTTTAAAAGATAACAACAAAAAATGTAAGACACAACCTGCATGAATGCATAGAAAAATGCATTTAATACTAATGAATGTTGCATCCATGTTGGTTGCATCATATATTGTTGTCGCACGTTTACACATGGATTAGAATGTTTTAGATGATCTTCAAAAATTTTCTAGATATTTTTCTCTATTTTCCAAGAGCATATGGTGTGTAGTTTTTGACACTATGGATTAATTTCTCACTTGGTATTCACTTAAGAGTTTTCCTTAGCCCAGCACTTTCGTTTGGAGGAGTTAATGTGTTAGTTTACGTAAGAAAGACTAATTTTTCCATGTGAGTTGCGCCTTGATTTCTAGAACTTTATTATTTTAACCTCTATTTTGACATTAACTATTTGGATTGTATTTTGAAGAATTTTATAAGAAAATTTGCAAATATTTAAAATTTAAGAAATTTTTTTAACAATTTGCATGACATGATTTGGGGTTAATAGCATCTTTTATTTTTCTTTCATTCATTTATTTTGCCTTTAGCTAACAAAGTCTAGAACAAGGGTGGATGGTGGGTTTGGATTAAGAAACAAGGGTACAATCATAATCTGGAATGGATTCCAAGAGATTTCCATTGAGCACTTAAATAGGGAAGCAAACAAAGTGGCACATGAGCTAGCTAGGCAAGCTATGATTTCTAGAACAAATTGTATCTGGGACGATGATCCCCTAGTTTTATTCTTCATTTATTATCGGTCGATGTAACTATTTTCAATCAATAACGCTTGCCTCAGGGCTATCAAAAAAAAAAGACAATTGGCTTTCAAAGAGGGGCAAGGACACACGTCACACACCCATCTCCCATATTATTTGTCTTTTTGTGAAAATGATAACTATATTTTTTCGATGGTCACATTCTATTAAAGAAACATAAATATATTTGTATTTGATTGATATTGGATACCAATATTTATTTATCAAGTATCTCTTTTGAGGAAACTATATATTCACCTAGTATCTTACTACATCGGTTTTAAGAAAACCGTCACCACATGCAACCTAGAGGACCAAGAAATTAATTAGCATGTTAATCGAAGAAAATAAAAAGAAGTGACCGTTGAATTTTATGATGTTCTAACGACTTAGGTCAAACAAATAAGGAACAGGGTGATCATTTGCTGGGGCCTAATGTGATCTTCAAACCCAACAACCCTTTCGTTGCCTGTTCATGGGCGATCATTGGTGAACAGGGTGAAGAGTCACCCACGATCAGACAAGAACCTCTACCTTAAAGCAGAGATACTGAATAGCTTCACGAGAAACCCAGCTACTTCGGTCGTGACAACAACACAATACTACCCAAAGTTGTGGCCACGTCCTCTTCTTTTCTTTTCCCTTTTGTCTTCCCCCCTACCTTCACATGCACCTTAATTATTCGGCTGCGAGACCACGTTAATTACATCTCACACATCAACCTGAAGTTGTTGCACCTCCTAAAATTTAGTCCCTTTCACATCAGATGTTTGGATACTAATTTACACTCCCTGTAGGTTGGTAAAGAAAGTCGTTTTGACAAGGTTTTGGTTAAAATTGGAATTATAAATTATGAATAACTTTTAAGTTGTTGAGTTTGAAAATTGTGAAAACCACGTAAATAGATTTGTCTTCAAAACTACTTTCATAAAAATATACGTATATCACTTTTAATAAATGTTTTACAAAAATAAGAAGTCAAAATTATGCTTTGGAGACCGTGTCGTTGCCCAAAACGACTTCTTTTAGCAACCTGGAGTGAGTATTAAATATAGACTAATTACAAAACTAATTGTATAGATTGAGACTAACTTGCGAGAAGAATCTATTATTAAGCCTAATTAGTCCATTATTTCACAATGTGGTGCTACAATAACATGTGCTAATAAGGGATTAATTAGGCTTAATATATTCGTCTCTCGAATTAGCCACAACTTCTGCAATTTGTTTATAATTAACTCATGTTTAGTACTTTTAATTAGCATCTGAACATTCGATATGACACTTACTAAATTTTAGTCCCCAGATCCAAACACTTTACTCTAATCATATGCATGCTTCTCTCTTTTTCGGCCATACATTTATCAAAACCCCTTGTCTCAGAAAGAGCACATGTCCCTTTTAACGAGGAACAATCAATCGATATTAAATCTATATTTATAGAAAACCAATATCATCATTTATGTCTAATAGATTTATTATAAAAATATATTGCATTTTTATATATTGGTTTTCCAAATGAGCCAATCAATCACTGGTTTAACTATATTTACAAACAAATTGAGCCTAGCTCGGTTGGTTAGGTTCATTTTGGTGTAACCTGTCCACCTGTGTTTAAGTCATCGACTCGGTACGGGTGCTCGCATTTTTCTACCGGCATAGTCTTTTAGATGTGCTCAAAGGAGTTTGCGTGTGTGTTGTAGGTGTTTGCGTCAGTATTCGTGTAATTCGATTCACAAAAAAAAGTATTCGTGTAATTCGCAAAAAACTATATTTACAAAAGAAATAATATCATCATTTATATTTTTAAACATACTTACTATACAAATATATTGCAAGACGAATTTAATAATATTATTCCAATCTCATAAATAATAGCAATATTTGTATATACTTTGTTAAATTTGAGATTAGTTGATGACTCTTTTAAAAGAGAAATGTAGTAGGTATATGTATGTAGTATATATATACTCCTCTCACTTTGTGATGTGCCACACCACATATTCAGTACCGGACTGCTTGAATTTGCCGAGTGTCCAAACACACTCGGCAAACCACCTAAAACACTCGACAAATGGTTACGCCGAGTGTAACACTCGTGAACAACACTCGCCAAAAAAAAGTGACGGCAAAGCCAACTTTGCCGAGTGTTTTTATCGGGCACTCGGCAAAGCCTTTGCCGAAAGTGCCCAACACTCAACAAAGTTGAAACCAAAAAAACCGAAAAAATTTGAATTTTACCAAAAAAAATGGATTTTTTTTATCGATGGAGGCCCACACCGCCGCCGCCCACCCATCTACGACATTTTCGCGTGAATTTCATGGCTACTGTGACCGGCGTGATTCGAACCCGAGACCTCTCTCGCGTGGTGCACGTGCCTCCTCTACCACTACACCACACTCTCACTTGTGTCTGGATTCCGTTTTAGTTCCTAATATATTATATTAAATCGAGTGTAAATTGCATGTTTGAGGCCCTAAACGAATTCAAATAAAAAAGTTGTAAACTACAAAGTTTCATAACTTTTCGAGATCTACACTTTTAGTTTAGGAAGTTTTTCCATCCGAGGTTGTTTACAAAATTTGAATTTTAAAATTTTGAAATTCAAACACAGTTTTGCATGACAAGATGTTTTCAAATCAAAAAGTTGTAAACTACAAAGTTTCATAACTTTTCGAGATCTACACTTTTAGTTTAGGAAGTTTTTTCCATCCGAGGTCGTTTACAAAATTTGAATTTTAAAATTTTGAAATTCAAACACAGTTTTGCATGACAAGATGTTTTCAAATCAAAAAGTTGTCAACTACAATGTTTCGTAACTTTTCGAGATCTACAGAGTTTATTTTGGTTGTTTTTTCATCCGAGGTCGTTTGAAAAGTTCGAATTTTAAAATTTTGAAATTCAAACGCAGTTTTGCATGACAAGATGTTTTCAAATCAAAAAGTTGCCAATTACAAAGCTTCATAACTTTTCGAGATCTACAAAGTTTATTTTGGTTGTTTTGCCATCTGTTCATCCGACATGGTCGTTCTAACATTATTCACAAATCTTATATATCTCTATTGTAGTTTCATAAACTACAAAAGAGATATGTTAGATTTGTGAACAAATTTATTTTCACTTTATCGTATGAAGAAAAGACCAAAACAAATATTGTACATCTTGATGAGTTATATAACTTTGTAGTTGAAAACTTTTCATTTAAATTAATTTCTGCTTCAAAATGTGCTTTGAAATTTTCTTTGCCAAATGTCAAAAAAAAAATAACACTTTCGGCAAAAGAGCTTCTTTGCGAGTATAAAAAAAAACACGGCAAATAAGCTCTTTGCCGAGTGTCTAAAAAACACTTTCGGCAAAGAGTATTTACCGAGTGCCCAAAAAAGAACACTCGGCAAACCACCGACACTCGGCAACTGGCCGGTCTCCGGCAGTGATTACAACAAACTGATCGACAAATGCTACGTGCAGCAGGCCTATTTGATCCGGCCGCCACCGCGCCGTCAGCTATGGCGCCGGCCAACAATGCTTCTAGCGGCGGCAACGAAGGAGAAGCGAGGTACCCGCTGAACGCCGAGTCGTACCGCCTGCTGTGCAAGATCGGGAGCGGCGTGAACGCGGTGGTGTACAAGGCCGTGTGCCTGCCTCTGGGCTCGTCGGCGTCGGCGGTGGTGGCCATCAAGGCGATCGACCTGGAGCGGTCGCGCGCCAACCTCGACGGCGTGCGGCGGGAGGCCAAGGCCATGGCGCTGCTGTCCCACCGCAACGTGCTCCGCGCGCACTGCTCCTTCACCGTCGGGAGCCACCTGTGGGTGGTGATGCCCTTCATGGGCGCCGGCTCACTGCACTCCATCCTGTCCCACGGGTTCCCCGGCGGCCTGCCGGAGCCGTGCGTCGCCGTCGTGCTCGCCGAGACGCTCCGCGCGCTGTGCTACCTCCACGGGAGGGCCGCATCCACCGCGACATCAAGGCGGGCAACATCCTGGTGGACTCGGACGGCGCCGTCAAGCTCGCCGACTTCGGCGTCTCGGCGTCCATCTACGAGACCATGGGCATCAACGCGTCGGCGTCGGCGGCGAACGCGGCGGCGCTGGGGATCGGCTCGTCGGCGTCCTGCTGCTTCAACGACGTGGCGGGGACGCCGTACTGGATGGCACCTGAGGTGATCCACTCCCACGTCGGGTACGGCATCAAGGCCGACATCTGGTCGTTCGGCATCACGGCGCTGGAGCTCGCGCACGGCCGCCCGCCGCTGTCGCACCTGCCGCCGTCCAAGTCGATGCTGATGAGGATCACCAGCCGCGTCCGGCTCGAGGAGCAGACCGCCGCCGTGAGTAGCAAGAGCAAGAACAAGTTCTCCCGGGCGTTCAAGGACATGGTGTCCTCCTGCCTCTGCCAGGAGCCGGCCAAGCGGCCGTCGGCGGAGAAGCTCCTCCGCCACCCGCTCTTCAAGGCATCCGGCCGTCGCTCCAGGGACTTCCTCGTCCGCAACGTCCTCGCCGCCGTCCCGAGCATCGAGGAGCGGTGCAGCAAGGACGACGACGACGCGGGGAATGATCTCTGCGGGTGTGTCTGTTAGTCTCTGGACGGCGGTGAGCGTCAAACGACAATGAACTCGAACAGAGGAAGAACACTACGCGAACACAGTTGGACACAAGAATTTTGGTGCTGCAAAACCGGCAGCTTTTCTGATGCAACTGATTGAGTATTAATAGAAGAATACAAAACACTCGGCCACCTCACACGACGTGTGATGCGCATCCATCCCTACGCCCACTACGACGCCAATGGCGGAGAGCCAGAGCTCGTGGCGAGCTATTCTCGGCCACGGCCTATCTACGCGCGCACGACGTCCACAGCTCGGAGTTCATGCGCGCATGCACCAAATAAACATGCAAAGCTAAAAATAGGAAAGGCTTATCGGTTTATCTAACAATTCTCCTCCTAAGCCTTGCCTACATGACGAACACCAAGTTTAGAGCGCAGCTCACAGAATCGTTCGCGCCCCAGAGCCTTGGTGCAGATGTCCGCTAGCTGCTCCAACGTCCCAATGGACTGAACCTGAACCCTGTTCTCCTCGACGCACTCGCGGATATAATGGTATTTGACATCAATATGCTTACTTCGATCGTGGAACACAGGATTCCGGCTGAGCGCGACGGCGGACTGGTTGTCGATCTTGAGTGCGAAAACTCCTGCCTCCTTTCCCTTGATTTCTGCTAGGAGACGAGTGAGCCAGACACCTTGGCAGGCAGCTGTGGCGGCGGCTATGTACTCTGCTTCGCACGATGACAGAGCCACAACACGCTGCTTCTGCGCTTGCCAAGTGACCAGGTTGCCGCCGAGGAAGAAGACGACTCGGTCGTGCTTTCTTGCGGGTGTCGACGTCGCTTTGCCAGGTCATTTGTCGCTGTGCCCGACAAGCTGAGCTCCTTTCTTCCTTCATGTAACAGCAACCGAATTGCAGAGTGCCCAACGTGCACTGAGCACCCTCTTGACAGCAGCAAGATGCTCGGTGGTGGGATTCTCCATGAATCGGCTGACATACCCCACCGAGTAGGCAAGGTCTGGCCGGGAGTTCACCAAGTAGCGCAGAGAGCCTACGATGCTGCGGTACTTGGTTGGATCAACTGCTGGAGCCGTACTTTGCTTGCTGAGCTTCAGGCGGGGCTCCATGGGAGTGTGGCTTGCATTGCAGCCAGTGAGCCCGGCTGTTTCCAAGATCTTTGCTGCATACGCGCCTTGGCAGATGGTGATCCCGGCCTCACTCTGGGTAACCTCCAACCCCAGATAGTAGTGAAGGAGGCCGAGGTCACTCATCTGGAACTTTGCCTTCATCTCCTCCTTGAACGTGGCGATGTCATCGCCGTTGGGTCCGGTGATCACCAGGTCATCTACGTAGACTCCGACAACGAGCCGGTGATCACCCACTCCGCGCAGGTACACAGCGTGCTCGGAGGTGCTCCGCTGGAAGCCCAGCTCGATCAGGGAGGAGTCGAGCTTGGCGTACCAGGCGCGAGGTGCTTGTCGCAGACCGTACAGCGCCTTCACTAGTAGCAGAATCTTGTTCTCGTGGCCGCGCAGGACGAACCCCGGCGGCTGCTCGACGTAGACTTGTTCTTGGAGTTCGCCGTTCAGAAACGCGGACTTTACGTCCATGTGGTGCACTGCCCAGCCTTCGGAGGCGGCATGGGCGAGTAGCAACCTCACGGACTCAAGTCGGGCTACCGGTGCGAAGACTTCGTCGAAGTCGACGCCCTGCTGTTGCACGTAGCCCTTTGCAACGAGGCGGGCCTTGTGCTTGGTGATCACGCCTGTGGCGTCCTTCTTGGTCTTGAAGACCCACTTCAGGCCTATCGGCTTCGTGCGTGGAGGAGCGTCGACGAGCTCCCAGGTGCCATTCGCCTCAATGGACGTCATCTCGTCCAGCATTGCGTTGCGCCAGCACTCGTGCTTAGCTGCTTCATCGAAGGACGTCGGCTCGGCGTCGCTCGCCAGCAGCAGCCGCTCCTCCAGATCGCGTACAGCGAGCTCGGGCGACTCGATCTCGCCAAGGATGTTGTCGACGCGGCGAAACCGAAGAGGCGCATCGTCGTCGTGGTCGGCGTCCAGCAGCTCGCTGGTATCCGCTCCGGGCGGCGACACGAACTCGATCTCCTGGTGCGGCGCCGAGCTTGGTGTCGGGGTCGGTGTGCGCTGGAAAGTTGCTGGTGACGGAGATGCCGCAGACGTGGAAGGAGATGCAGAGCCCGCAGCAGCGCCCGCCGAGGGAGTGTGGGTCACCTCGGTGGTGACCACAGAGGGTGCGTCCACCGCGGGTTCGTCGATGGTGAAGTCGGCGTCGCCTCCGTCATGATCGGCAGGCCACGCCCACTGGGCGCTCTCGTCAAAGACGACATCGCGACTGATGTGAACTCGGCGGGTGGACGGGTCGTAGACGCGGTATGCCTTGGACCCGGCCTCGTATCCGACGAAGATCATCCGCCTGCTTCGATCATCCAGTTTCTTCGGATTAGGCGCAGTTACCTTGACGTGGGCGATGCTGCCGAACGTGCGGAGATGGTGGACGCCCGGCGCACACCCCGCCCGAGCTCTCATAGGAGTCTTGCCCCCGATGCTCTTCGACGAAGATCGGTTCAGGAGGTAGACGGCCGTCGAGACCGCCTCGCCCCAGAACACAGGGGGGAGCCCCTTTGCCTTCAACATGCACCGCGCCGTCCCCACAACGGACTGGTTGCGACGCTCCACGACACCATTCTGTTGCGGTGTGTGCGGTGTCGTGAGCTCGCGACGCAGCCCGAGCTGAGCGCAGTAGTCGGTGAAGTTTGCCGCCGTGAACTCGCCGCCTCGATCGGTGCGGAGCGCGAGCACCTTCTTGCCCGTCTTCCTCTCAGCGGCTGCCTGGATCCGCTTGATGGCAGCTGCTGCCTCATCCTTGGATGGCAACAGGGCGCACCACATGTACCGAGAGTAATCATCGACTAGGAGCAGTATGTAGCGATTACCACTTGGTGTTGGCGGCGAGATCGGTCCACAGAGGTCACCGTGGAGAAGTTGGAGCACCTCGGTAGAGCGCCCGAGAGCCTTCTGCGGGAATGGTGCACGCCGCTGCTTCCCAGCCAGGCAAGCGTCGCAGAGCTGCTCCACCTGGTTGAGCAGAGGCAGACCTCGTACGAGCTTGTCGCGTGCCATCTTGCGGAGCGCAGTGAAGTTGACATGCCCGAATCGGGCGTGCCAAGTCCACGCATCCTCGTCGGCTCGCGCTGCCAGGCACACCGGCCGTGCGATGGTGACGTCGAGCACGTACAGGCGGCCTGGGCTGCGAGGGATCTTGGCGAGCAGGCGCATCTCCTCGTCACGGATGGTCATGACGCCGCCCTTCACCAGCACCTCGTAGCTGCTCTCGTCCAGCTGGCCGACGGAGATGATGTTCGCCGTCAGTCGGGGCAGGTAGTAGACGTCGGACAGCGACCGGTGCTCCCCATTCTTGCAGGAGAGGAGAATGGTGCCTCTGCCTTCTATGCGGGCGGTGGAGCCGTCGCCGAACCGCACGGACCCGGTGACGCCGGTGTCGAGGCTGGCGAAGGTAGAGCGGGCGCCCGTCATGTGGCTGGATGCACCCGTGTCCAGGATCCATCGGCTCGGATCCCTGTCGGCGGTGGAGTCGAAGGAAGTGAGCACCTTCTTCTCGGTGAGGTGAATTTCGCTGCTCGGAGAGGATGGATGCGGCGGCGATTTGGGGGAGGTCGTCACGGCTGGCTGAGGTGAGTCCTCGGACTGGGCCGTGGCGATAGCGACCATGAGCGTCTCCTCCTCCTGCTGGGCCACATGGGCCTGCTGGGACGGCTCCTCCTTCTTCTTGAGACGGCAGTCTCGGGCCCAATGGCCCTTTTTGCCGCAGCGTGGGCAAGGCTCTGCAGGAGGCGGACGGCTTCCGCCCGACCGCGAGTCGCCGCTGCCGCCGCCGCCGCCACCGCGTCCGCGGCCACGGCCTCGGCCGCGACCCCGGCCGCCGGAGCTGGAGCCGCCTTGCTCCTTCTTCTTGTACCTCTCGACCCATTCCTCCTCCGTGAGGAGCAGTTTCCCGCTCGCCGTGTGCGCTGGCGCGGGCTCGACGTCGTCGGCCGCCTTGACCATTCCCGTCACCTCCTCTAATGACAGTTTGGAGACGTCGAGAAGGGTTTCAATCGAAATTACCAGCTGCTTGTAGCGAGGACGGACGACGCGCAGGTACTTCGCCACGACCTTCTGATCGGGCTCCGGGTCTCCCAGTGTGGCGAGTCGCTGGACGATGCCGGAGAGGCGCAGAGCGAAGTCTTCGACGGCCTCGCCGTCACGGAGAGAGATTGACTCATACTCCGCGCGGAGGCCCTGCGCCGTCGCCTTGCGCACGCGTTCATCGCCGATGCGCAGTGACTTGATGGCTTCCCAGGCGTCCTTCGCGGACCCCTTGTCCACCAGGATGGGAACGAGCTCCGCCGGTACGCCACTGCAGATCGCGTCGAGTGCGCTGCGGTCGTCGTCGTAGTCGGCGTCGTCGTACTCGATGGCGTCCCAGAGATGACGAGCTTGCAGCTTGAGTTTCATGCGGAGGGACCACTCGTGGTAGTTGCTCCGGGTGAGTTGAGGCCAGTTGCCAGACCCGCCTTCCCTAATGATCCGCTCGACGACGACTTCTCGGGGACGGCGTGCATCCCGGGTGCGCGAGCGACGTGCGTCGCGCGTTCGTGATTGTCGGGGTGGAGAACGGCTTGGTGGAGGCGAGCGTGATGGAGTCTTGTTGCCGGAACCGCTGGTGGCGCCCTTCTTCTTCTTGTCGCTGTCGGACGGTGAACGCCCACGCACCGGAGATGCCATGGTGACAACGAGGTCCTTCTATAACCTAGCTCTGGTACCACTTGTTAGTCTCTGGACGGCGGTGAGCGTCAAACGACAGTGAACTCGAACAGAGGAAGAACACTACGCGAACACAGTTGGACACAAGAATTTTGGTGCTGCAAAACCGGCAGCTTTTCTGATGCAACTGATTGAGTATTAATAGAAGAATACAAAAACACTCGGCCACCTCTCACACGACGTGTGATGCGCATCCATCCCTACGCCCACTACGACGCCAATGGCGGAGAGCCAGAGCTCGTGGCGAGCTATTCTCGGCCACGGCCTATCTACGCGCGCACGACGTCCACAGCTCGGAGTTCATGCGCGCATGCACCAAATAAACATGCAAAGCTAAAAATAGGAAAGGCTTATCGGTTTATCTAACAGTGTCGGCGGCGGCGCCAGGGGCGACGCCGCACGCTGCGTGTTGCCGTGCCGACGCCATGCCGACGACGTCGGCGGCGGCGTCAAGAACCGACGGATCAGCGGCTGGAACTTCAACGAGGACAACCTCGAGTTCGATCCGACGACCGAGGACCCGGCGGCGCGGGCGGAGAAGAGGTGCTTTCCATTCCAGGACCCTGTGGAGCTGGACGACGACAGTGACTCCACCGGAGATGGAGATAGACGGCCGCCGCCGCATGGGGATGGCGATCAAGATCACGGAAGGCGGCGGAGGCTATAGGGTTTAAGGAGCAACAGCAAGTGGTGACTCGGCAGCTGATGGCCGTCCTGCAGAGCCTGGAGGTGCAAAGGGACATGGTGACGCACGTTTTGGAACGCACCGCCGCCGGCTGCTTCGATGTCGTCGACGTCTGTGGTGTGAGCGTGACAGCTCCAGCTCCAAGGGAGGAGGTGGAGAGATGTTGCTTGGGTACGTCCGGCAGCTGGAGCACAGGGTGGAAGACGTGAGGAAGGAGGTCGAGGAGGAGATGGCATGGAACGCCCGGCTGGAGAAGATGCTGGACGAGAGAGTTATCATTAGCGACGGTGAGAAGAAGTGAAGTCATCTCATATGTCAGCTGGGAGCAGCTGATGCTGTTCCGGTTTCGCTTGCTCATCAAGGTCAAGTGCATTTTACAGTATCACCCCATCCGTTCTAAATTGTAAAGAGTTCTAAATATAAGTAGTTTTACTGTACATCTAGTTATATGTAATGTCTAGATATATTGTAATTTTAATGTTACACGACACTGATTATCGTGGTAGGATTTATGTTTTCGATGGACTTTGCGGGAATAGTGCTTCTTAGGAGTTTGGTGGCTCTGATGGCCACTGTGAGGTCCATGGCTTTGCTTGCCAGAGGCCGCGAGGGAGGAATTGTAGCTTGATTGCATCCATGGACGAAATTATGAATATATATATATATATATATGAGAATCCATTTATAGGAAGGAAAGAAGGGGAAACAAGTTTAAGGGCTCGTTCGTTTACCCTTAATCCAGGTGATCAAATATAGTATAAATTATTAGCACAACATTCATAGTTGGAATAATTCCAGGGGTCCATTCTGTGGCAACCAAACAGGCTCTTAAGGCCCCTCTAAAATACATGGATTTTTTTTTGAAGGAAAAATACATGGATTTTACAGGACACTAACATGACTCCTAATTGCCAAAACTTAAATTCAAAAAAAAAATTGTCAAAACTTAATTAGATTGCTAACTCAAATGGAAGCCTCCGTTGGGAGGTAAGGAAAAGCTGACTTTTCAAGAATTTAAGCCTTTCAAACAACGCCGTAATGATACTCTGTGTTGATGTAAAAAAACTAAAACACATTTTACAAAGATGGTTGCTTTAAGTGAAGAACTACGACAAATGTTTGTTTTTATAAGTCAAGAAGTACAACAATGATGAATGTACCTGAAAAAAAAAGTAATTTTACAGTCAATATATAATTAACTCACACAGTCGCCATTGGATGTAAATCAAGCCAACTCTTTTGAATCCCGGAGCAAGGCCGAGGACGCCGACTCGGCAGAGAGCTTGGAATGGCCGCCGGTTGTCATCGTGGTCGTGGAAGAGGAGCTCTGAACGGACAATGCGTCGACAGCACGTCCAGTGACGGCGAACTCAGACACCGTCCTGTACATCTGAGGCGTGAGCTCTGGAAGCCTGGCGTCCTCCGAGACTGCAGAACATGCATGGCCTGCGCGATGGACGGCTGCTCGCTCTGGTCAGGATGCGCGCACCACAGTCCGACGACGAGCACCCTCTCCATGCACCTGTCATCAGCCTCGTCGCCGGCGGCCCTCAGCCGCTTGTCCGCCGCGTCAAGGATCGCGTTCCGGCCGTACAGACCCCACATCCACTTGACCAGGACGAAGTGCGCACGTCCTTCAAGCAGGATCACGGGGCACCGGCCGGAGACGATCTCGAGGAGGACGATGCCGAAGCTATAGACGTATCAGAGTAGGTGCTGGGGTGGTGCGTGTTGACGAACTCCGGGTCGATGTACCCTGCCGTGCCCATCACGGCCTTGGTGGTGTGCCACCGTGCGCCATGGTCATCGAGCCTGGCCAGACCAAAGTCGCCGAGCCTGGTGCTGAGGGACTCATCATCCAGCATGATGTTGCTGGGTTTGATATCGCCGTGCACGACGCACTGCTCCCACTCCTGATGGAGATACCGCAGCGCGGATCCCATGCCAAGGATGATGTGGTACCTTTGTGGCCACGTCAGAAAGCTCTCGCTGTTGTGGAGATGCTTGTCGAGGCTGCCTTTGGCCACCAGTTCGTAGACGAGCAGGAGGCCGTTGCGACGACTATCGCACCTGCCCAGGAGCTGCACAAGGTTGCGATGCTTGAGCCGGCTGATGATCCTCACCTCTGCTTCGAACTCCTTTCTCCCTGCTCGGATGACTCCGGTGATAACATCTTGATGTCCACCGGCACCAGGCGCTCTTCGCCGGCAACGTCGAGCATACCCCGGTAGACGCTTCCGAAGCCACCACGACCAAGCTTGTAATCCTCGGCGAAGTTGTTGGTGGCGGCAGCCAGCTCGCGGTATGTGTATCGCTTGGGGCCGCTAGCAGCCACTCCTTTCTCCAGCTCGATCCTATCATCTTCCTCTTCATAGTCGCTATCGCCGCTTCCTCCGGATCTTCGTTTCTGCCCACAGCTGCACATGCCAACAGAAAGAGAAGAGGCACTAGCACAGAGACCAGCAGAATGGTACTATTCTTCTGGGGTTGCTTTTGCTGCTTGGGTTCCATAGTGGAGCTGAATGACCATGATAATATCTGGCTCTGGCCGTTCAGCTCGCTTATCACACCAGTCGCCGCTGAGAAGCCCACGGCAACAAACTGTGGCAGGTAGTTCCTCAGGTCAACTGACATGCTGACGTTGTACAGTTTATCGCCGATCTTGACATGGACATCTAGCAACTGAGTGACATTGTCGTAGCTGACAGTGGCCATCTTGGTGAAATTGGACGTCAGGGTGTTGGGCCAAGTGGTGTTGGTGTATTCCGTGGAGACGAGGTTATTGACGTCGATTCCAACATGGTCGTTGCTTGGATCGTAGTATTCCGCATTCTGAAAAGTGTCAAACTCGACTAAACTGGATCCGCATATAGTCCAAAGTCGATGGTGCCACGAATATTTTGGAGGATCTGCTTGATCAGAGCAAGATGAGTCTCACACGGATTGTGCATATGAAGACACACCTGCTAGACAGCATAGGCAATATTGGGTTTGGTGAAAGGTAGTGCAGAGCACCAGCAAGAGCACGATATAGTCGATGCCATCAGACACTGGGGCACCATCACCGAAACTTTGGCATGAGTGTCGGCAAGTGTAGTGCAAGGCTTGCAATCAGACATACCGGCCCGAGCAAGGATGTCAACCATATACTGCTGCTGAGAGAGAAAAAGTCCACCAGCACGATGGGCAACAGAAACTCCCAGGAAATGATGCAAAGGGACAAGATTCTCCATCGAGAACTCCTAGGTCAAAGCAGCAATAATGCAACAAAGTAGAGACTCAAACGAAGTAGTGAGCACAATATCATTGACATAGAGCAGTAGGTATGCCGTGTCAGCACCATGGCGATAGACAAGAAGGCAAGTGTCGACAAGGCACCAACAAACCCCATGGAGAGAATATGAGAGGCGAACCGATTGTACCACACACGGGCGCCTTCTTCAAACCATAAAGAGACTTATTCGGGCGATGAGACATAACCGAGGTGAGTGGGAGTAGAGAAATCCAGGCGTCTATTCATAATACATGGTCTCCTGCAGAGTTCTATGAAGAAAAGCATTTTTCACATCCAACTAATGAATAGGCCATCGATGAGATAATGCAACGTTAAGAACCGTTCTGGACAGTGCGTTGGCTTAACCACTGGGCTGAAGTCTCATCATAGTCAATATTGAGGCAACCGAGTAAACCCCAAACAAACCCAACGTTCCTTGTACCAATCAGGAGAGCCATAAGAGGTGAACTTGCGGTGATAAACCCACTTGCCGTAACCACATTGGCACCATGAGGGCAAAGAACCAGATCCCAAGTATCATTGTGCTTCAGAGCAAGGAACTCCTCAATCATAGCATCCCGCCAATTAGGATTGGCAAGAGCACCATGATACATCTTCCGAATGGGAGAGAGGCGTCATGGCATGGAGGTTGAGCCGTTGCAGAATGGAAGATGGAAGCCCGCTTGCCGCGAAAGTGTCCATGACATGGTCATTAACAGGCGGAGTAACTAGGACATCCATTGGAGGAAGAGGATCGCATGACGACGGCGGTGCCACCGGTGAGTTCTTTGGGAGCAAGCAAGGCGTCATAGAGGTGATTGGTGGAGAGGTGGCGTGGTGCTGTTGATGTGCCCGGAGACGAGACGTCAACCGGCAGCAGATCCGACCAGATGGTGGGCGCCAGAGGTGGGTTAAGGGCCACATCAATGTCTTGGCAACATTTCGGCCCTTCCTATCGGGGATGTGGCGTTGTTGAAATCATGACCATTGTCATCTTGGACGGATTTGATAGTGCACCCAAACTGTGTGGCAACATAAGCAAAATTTTGTGCATGGTAGGAAATGCTTCGGACATTAAACGAAGAGGGAACATCTGCCATGAAGCCAATGGCTCCCTGCATCCTGACGGTGGCAGGTGCGATGACGGCGCAGGCATGTAGCGGCGACTTCGTTCCTTTCCATTTCCCTTGACCGGAGCAGGGGACGGAGGCTCATAGGCTCATCAGAGGACATGTCTGAATCCGAGAACGAGAGCCTATACTGCCTCGCCCAAGAGGAGCCGGTGACAGGTGACTCATGGGTAGAGTGGATGGCCACACAGTGCCCAAACAACGCGGGGGGCAGAGCGGTGACAATGGTTTGTTGCCTTGGAAGTGTAGTGCTTGGGGAAGGGCTTGTTGATCCCTGAGCCCTAGGACGGAGAACCATGGAGGCCATTCATGGGTAAATGGCAAGGTTAAGGAAAGGAGGAGCAGAGACGTGGACCTTTGGGCCGCAGTGGCCACCAAGTTTTTTTTGGGGGGAGGGGAGGGGAGGGGGGCGTGGACTTCGGGGACAAGAGTGGCCACCGACGACGGGAGAGGCTCAGAATGTAAAAAACACAATTTACAAAAAGATGATTGCTTTAAGTGAAGAACTACACAATGGATGATTGTTTTAAAGCTTAGAGAAGTATAACCGTAATGAAAGTGCAAAAAAAGTAATTTTACAGTCAATATATAATACACAAAGACGCCCATAGACCGGAGGCAGTCCATACAACAGTGATGAATGCAAATCAAGCCAACTCTTTTAAATCTCAAAGCAAGGGAGAGGATGCTGACTCGGAAGAGATCTTGGAGTGGCCACCGGTTGTCGCCGTGGTCGTGGAAGAGGAGCTACGAACGGACAAGGCGCCGATAGCACGTCGAGTGACGGCAAACTCCGACACCGTTCGTACATTTGCGGTGTGGCGTCGGGAGCCTAAGCGTCCTCCATTGCAGGGCGTGCATGGCCTGCTCAATGGATGGCCGTTCGCTCTGGTCAGGATGCGCGCACCACAGCCCAACAACGAGCACCCTCTCCATGCACCTATCGTCGGCCTGGTCGCCGGACCTCAAGCCGCTCATCCGCCCGCGTCGAGATCGCGTTCGGCCATAGAGGCCCCACATCCACTTGACCAGGACAAAGTGCGCGCCGCCTTCTAGCAGGATGACGGGGCACCGCCGGAGACGATCTCGAGGAGGACAACACCGAAGCTGTAGAGCGTCGGAGTAGGTGCTCGGGTGAGCGTGTTGACGAACTTCTGGGTCGATGTACCCCGCCGTGCCCATCACGGCCCTGGTGGTGTGCCACCGTGCGCCCGTGATCGCCGAGCGGGCCAGGCCAAAGTCGCCAAGCCTGGTGCCGAGAGACTCGTCCAGCATGATGTTGCTTGGTTTGATGTCACCGTGCACCACACACTGCTCCCAGTCCTGATGGAGATACCGCAGCGCTGATCCCAAGCCAAGGATGATCTGGTACCTATGTGTATGTACCTTATAAATCAATCAGTGGTTGGTAAAAAGAGATAAAGCTAGCATGAAAATTCTCACAACAATCATAATCATCCAACCATTTATCAAAGTAACCATTTATGCTATTATGAAAAAATAATATAAGAAACATTCTAAATTTTTATCTAAGAAATTAACCACCTCTAAAAAAACCTAATAAAGTAACCCTTGTTATTATAGTTTTTTTAAATACTTCTATAATCTTCTCAATATACTCTCTTCTATCATTATTACTAATATAGAAAAAATGAACTATATGCGTGCATACATGTCACTATACAAATCATATACATATATGCATGAAGTGATGACCATTTCGATTTACAAGTCAAATACATAGCACCGGTGTTAAGTGTCACCATTGCGTCACATATATATGCATATATATATACATATATATATACATATATATATATATATATATATATATATTTTAATTTCAAACACACGTAGCTTAATTAAGCTAAAATTTCAACTAAACACATATCAAGTAAACAGACCATCAAAACGTATCAGTAAACATGGAGGATCAATGCAAGGAGAACAAATATGGATAAAATTACATATAGAGTAATTTTGTAACTATAAAGTATTACAGCAAGACAAAATTTAAGAAGGATGTACCGTATTTGTATAAACCTTGTCAAATTAGAGAACCAAATATAAACAACTTCAATAACCATGGGGCCAGATATGCTGAGTTTTTTTTTTCTTTTGAAAGGTCCCGAACATGGCGGCGCAAACAACTTTCCAGGTTTGATAGACTGTCAAGTTAGACGAAAAGAACTAAACGGACTACTCACAGTCTAGGGGCACAACAACAGGCTATAACAACTTGGCCCCCCAAAACAACCGATGCGCAACTTCTAACTTCCTAAGCCGACTTCCAAACATTTTCTTTTGACACCCAGAACACCTCTGTCTAGTAGCCACCGTCTTGCACTCCCCAACACTATGGCAACTCACTGACCCGGAATGATATGCTGAGTTTATCCATGAATCTTCTAGCACTTACTCTATCTGTTCCATAGAGATTATCGTTTTTGACTTTAGAGTATCGTGTTTGACCATTCGTTTTATTCAACTTTTTTACAAATCATAAAATAAATAAATTATTATTAAAGTATCTCTGATGATAAAATAAGTCATAATAAAGTAAATAATATTTGTACAAATTTTTTTGAATAAGGCGAATGGTCAAATAAAATGATACTGAGTCCAAAACGATAATCTCAATTTGACGGAAGGAGTATATATGTCGCTTATTATTACTAGTCTATCATTCTATCTATGCATGATAACTATTAAGGTTGGTTAAATGTGTTGTTTACCTTTCTGGCCACGTCAAAAAGCTCTCGCTGTCGTCGCTGCTGTGGAGATGCGTGTCGAGGCTGCCTTTGGCAACCAACTCGTAGACGAGCAGGAGGCCATTGCGACGACTGTCGCACCACCCCAAGAGCCTCACAGGTTTCGATGCTTGAGACGGCTGATGATCCTCACCTCCGCCTCGAACTCCTTCCTCCCTGCGCCGACGACTCCGATGAGAACATCTTGATGGCCACCGGGCGCTCTTCGCCGGCAACGGCGAGCTTACCCCTGTAGACGCTTCCGAAGCCACCGCGGCCGAGCTTGCCATCTTCGGCGAAGTTGTTGGTGGCGGCCGCCAGCTCGCGGTACGCGTATCGCCTAGGGCCGCCGGCAGCCACCCCTCTCTCGAGCTCGGCCCTGCCGTGTCGTTGTTCTCCTTCACAGTCGCTGTCACTGGTTTCTTCATTTGGTGGTTTCTTGTGTCGTTTGTGCCGCCATACAAGCACGGCTGCACATGCCAAGAGAAATACTCCTAGCACAGCCGCTAGCACGGAGATTGCTATCTGGGTTCGTCCTACTGACCTCGTCTTGGGATGCTG